AATGCTCATCATCACTGGCCATCAGAGAAATGCAAATCAAAACCACAATGAGATACCATCTCACACCAGTTAGAATGGCAATCATTAAAAAGTCAGGAAACAACAGGTGCTGGAGAGGATGTTGGAGAAATAGGAACGCTTTTACACTGTTGGTGGGGATTGTAAACTAGTTCAACCATTATGGAAAACAGTATGGCGATTCCTCAAGGATCTAGAATAGATGTACCATATGACCCAGCCATCCCATTACTGGGTATGTACCCAAAGGATTATAAATTATGCTGCTATAAGAGACACATGCACACGTATGTTTATTGCGCACATATTCACAATAGCAACGACTTGGAATCCAAGCCAAATGTCATCAGTGACAGACTGGATGAAGAAAATGTGGCACATATACACCATGAATACTATGCAGCCATAAAAAAGGATGAGTTTGTGTCCTTTTGTAGGGACATGGATGGCAGCTGGAAACCTTCATTCTTAGGCAAACTCACACAGAACTGAAAACCAAACACCGCATGTTACCTCATAGGTGGAACTGAACAATGAGATCACTGACTCAGGAAGGGGAACATCACACACCGGGGCCTATCATAGGGGAGGGGGAGGGGGAGGGATATGCATGGGAGTTAATACCGATGTAAAGACGGTTAATTGAGGGTGAGTGCAGCACACCAACATGGCACAAGTATACATATGTAACAAACCTGCACGTTATGCACATGTACCCTACAACTTAAAGTATAATAATAATAAATAAATTTAAAAAAAAAGAAGAAGCTTCTGCATATGCTCAATGCAAACTCAGCATTGACAAATTTTCCTGGCTCTTTCCCTGAGAAATCTCACAAATAAACCCTGTGATGAGAAGAAAGATTACTCCCACATACACACAAATCTCCACAGGCTCCAAATACAATGCCTATCAAAAACTACACAAGCAAGTACAAACAGCTCAACAAGACTGCAACAGTGTGTTCACATAGCTCCAGGAGGAAGAGGACCTGGCTAACCTCATCGAGTTAGCCATGTATCTGGATTACACATACATTTCCAGACAAATGTGATGGCGCTTATGATGTACAGAAATTCACTTGTTATGTTGTCATCCTAAATCTTCTATTACTGATACAGTCTCTCAAACACAGCATCTAGTGTACCACTCTGAATCACCAGCTTAATCAATATGTATTAACAACATCTCAAACCAAATATAGTATTTGCTATATAAACCAAATATAGTATTTGCTATATAATAAAGTGGTTTTTTTACTTAGAGTCAGAAAACCTGACTATAATCATTAAATACTGCCTTTTAAGGGAAAGGAGGAGGGCTGGCATAATTCTGTTATAGGAAAATAAGTACAATGCTCCCTCCTCTTCACAAAGACTAGGGGAGAGGGAAGAGGGCGGCCCAAAACATGATTGTCTTCACTGATACTTCTGGGGTCTTAAAGGGTGTAACTGGGAAAAGATGGGTCAGGTCTTTGAGTAAGCAGACATGGACCCTAAAACCGGGTAGAAGGCTGGGCCTGTTACATGTAAAGGAGAAAGGGAAATGGAGCTTCATCATGGAATTCTAAAGGGCATTTTTGAAACACAGAAAAGCAAGGAATCTTGAAGAGTGAAAGAAGTCTGGCAACTAGCAACATGGCAATGCATGGCCCTCATCTCCTAGGTAAAATCTGCTATTCATGAGAATTACTTAATGGGTCCACTCTATCCATCAGGTGAGGGATTGCCTAAGAACTCTGACTTGACCACTACCCAATCTATGCACCTATACTCTGCTGGTGAGAGTGGAAATCAGTCTAACAATTTTGGAAAACAGTGTGACAATTCCCCAAAACAGAATCACCATTTGACCTAGCAATCCCATTACTGGGTATGTACCCAAAGGAATATAAATTGTTCTACCATAAAGACACATGCATGCATATGTTCATTGCAGCGCTATTCACAGTAGCAAAGACATGGAATCAACCTAAATGCCCATCAATGGTAAACTGGATAAAGAAAATGTGGTAATATATACCATGCAATACTACGCAGTCATAAAAAAGAATGAGATCATATCCTTTGCAGGAACATGGATGGAGCTGGAGGCCATTATCCTTAGCAAACTAATGCAGGAACAGAAAACCAAATGCTGCATGTTCTCATTAAGTGGGAGCTGAATGATGAGAACACATGGACACAAAGAGGGGAACAACAGACACTGGGGTCTACCAGACAAGGGTAGAAGGAGAGAGAAGATCAGGAAGAATAACGAGTACTAGGCTTTTTACCTGGGTAACAAAATAATCTGTACAACAAACCCCCATTGCACGAGTTTACTTATATAACGAACCTACACATGTATCCCTGAACTTAAAAGTTATCAATCAATCAATCTCACTTGTACCCCATAAATTTATACAAATAAAAAATTTTTTAATTAAAAATCAAGAATTTTTATAAATCTGCTACTTAACACATGTGCCTTGTTTATGTATTTTTAAGAGTAGGTAGTATTATGGCAATGTAGTCCAGGAAAGCAGCACAGCCACAGGAGGAAGGGGAGGCGGAGGTAGGAGGAAGCAGGAATTCAGAGCAGGTAGTCACCAGTGACCTTGGTGACATCTGCGTTATAGTTGCTGCTGCTGGTTGCAACAGCCCATCTGGCCACAGTACATATTTATATGGTTGTATCTACTTTCAGTTGAGTTGTTCATGCTTGCAGACAAACTGGATAACCAAGCTCAGTGATGGTCTATCTGCAGGTAAATTCCACATACCTGTAACCCACCAGATCAAACCAGCACCACGAAACCACGAACAAGCTGGAAGCATTAATCCACTTGCCAAGCACAGCAGTACTGCACCTCTGTGAAAAAGGACATGCTCTAAGACATGTGACGTTAGTAATATTTCATCGTCCCGAATATAAAATAGAAATATACCTCCCACCTCTGGTTACATATAAGAAATAATGTGTGTGGAACAACCGGTGAGATCATGAGAGCCCACTGGGAGCCAATATTATACACATTCAGAACAGAGAAGGAATAAAAACTCTGCCATGAGATCAATGATATCTGCCAACTTATCATGTAAGCGCAGTAACCAAGCTTTCTCAGACTATTAAAGTACAGTCCATGTTGGTCATGTAACATTTTAAATGACTCTGCCAAGAACAAAAAGAAAAGCTCATTGGAATGGTTTCTATTTAGTTTGCTTTTTTTTCTTTCTTTCCTCTACCTCAATACTGCTCTTGCCTAGAGTCTCTGCCTCCCCAAAACCAGTGTCAATTTGATAAATAACTGATAGCTGTGTGGCTTTTAAAACAACCACAAATGATTTTATTATTTTGCTATTTTGGCAAAAAGTTGCAAAAGGAGGAAAAAAGAAATTTAACTAAACTTTAGAAGGAAACCCAGAAATAATAATAGCTAGAACATAGGACTCATTTAAGTAGCTGTCACATAAATTAAGCTCAAAAACATAACATACACTATATACTAGGCACTATTTTAAGATTTTCCCCTGTAATTATTATTCATTTAATTCTCATGCGCCTGTAAGGTAAATGCTAATATTATCCCCATTTTGCAGAGGAGAATACTGGGGGAAAGAGCACGTAAGTAACCTGCTTGAGGTCAAACACAGTAGCCCACATAGGACTAAGAATCTAAAATGGTCCTCAGGCTCTGAGGTGAGGCTCGTAGCCATATTACTACCTGCTCCTACCTGTGTAAGAATGACCCTGGGGCTCCAGAAGACCAGATGTGAGAAGAGGCCATGAAGGACAGTGTGGATATTTTTCTACTGCCAAATCAACAACAAATATTTTTGAGTGCCCACCATGTGCCAGGCTCTGTTCTAGGTGTTTGGGATGCATCAATGAACAATGATCCCTTTCTCCCACAGAGCTCACATTCTGGTGGGGGAGACTTATAATAAACACCATTAATAAATAATGCAGATAGGGCCAGGCAGAGCGACTCATGACGGTAATACCAGCACTTTGGGAGGCAGAGGGGGGAGGATCGTTTGAGGTCAGGAGTTTGAGACCAGCCTGGACAAAATAGTGAGACCTAATAATAATGAAGATTATCAGAAGGCAGAAAGTGCTACAGAACACTAAGAGTGATGGGGTCACTAGTGTTGGCGTGGGCTAAGGAGAAGCCAGAACATGTGACCAAGACACAGTTTGTCCTCCCTTGTCCTCCCAGGGCCACAGACGACACTGCTCCTTTGTTTTCCCAAGGCCTTTCAGCACCTTCGGAGCCTCCCTCTCACCTTTTCCCCATCAAACATACCTATGACCCATTTCCTTAAGTATAATCTGGTGAATTTCAGAAAGCCATTCCTACTATGATGAGGGTGAGCGATGATGGTCTAACGCAACATTTCTCAAGCTAGTTCTGAGAAACATGCCTACTCTGTCAGGCATTAATAGATGTTCTAAAGGATAATTCCATGTTCAAATAACTTTGGGAAACCTCCAAACGTCTCTAATATGCTGATATGCATTGTGAAGTACAAAGAAAGGAAGATTGAAATGCACTATTTCCTCAACCTATTTGATATAGAAGCATTTTCTTTTTCTCGTTAACATCTCAAGAAACCAGCATCTCACAGGGAAGACGCTGTGTCTTCCCAAACCAGCACAGTTTGGGAAATGCTGGTCTTGTGAGTTGCATTTCCATCTTCAATGTCTCACTCTAATATACAGGATTAGGAAATGTCTGAAAAGCAAACCCTCATTTTATATATGTGAGAAAGTTTCCCCCTGAAGTTTAGTTACATTCTTCTTGTGAGAAAAGCAAGTCCAGGGATGTAACATGATTGGCCCAGAGTTGAATGGTGAGTTTCTCCTGGCTACCAGGACTTACCATTTACAATTAAAATTCTTCCTTTACTCTGCCACAAAACGTATGCTTGTTTTCACAAGTAACTCTGGAAACTAAGCTTTAACACGTAGGAATAAACTTCTTCCTTCCCCTCTGTCCTTTTGTTCCTTTCTTTCTTCTCTGCCTTCCTCCCAGATATGGAGGAAGATACAGACTCTAAATGAAATAATATTTTCAAACGTCCTTGTTCAGTACTTGACACAGAGTAAGCAATCAATGTTCATTCATTTTCCCATTCCCTGCCCTCAAGGGGCTTAGTATCTGGACAGGAAGAAAGACATTTTTTAAAATCTGTAATACAGAAAAATAAAGTTTCTAACAGATACATATATATGTGTATGTGTGTACACACATATATAACACACATACAAAAATTGATCGATTCAAAGTATTATAGTATGTGGCATAAAGAAGGGATCCCCTGTGATAATAAGAGAAGAATTCACAGAGAAAATGTTTGAGCTGCGTTTTGAATGGAGTAGGGCTTACCAGGACATCAAGACAGTAAAGCAAGCCCAGGCAGTGGGGAGACTGGAACAGTCTGGCACTTCCAGAGAACCGCAAGTGGGTTCGGCTCAGGTGAAGCAGGAGGATAAGATTAGAACGCATTTGTAAAGGTAAGTAGAGGGGCCAGATCCTGCCTCATGTGGGAGAATTGGGGGCAGTATTTTCCCTGTGTATTGTGGGGCAAACTGCTGAGAGCTTATAAGTAAAGGAGTGGTGGAATCAGATTTGCATTTTACAGAGATCATTCTGGAGCCATGTGGAGAAGATTCCGCTAAAGAGAGACAATTAGGAGACAACACTAATAGCCTGAATGAAAAAATGGTGAGGACTCCACTAAGGCAGATGTGCTTAGGGATAGAGAGGAAGGGTTTAATCTAAAAGAAGTCACAGAACTGAGTTGGAGAAAATGAGGAAGATGGAGAATTCTGGGCGAACTCTTGGTTTCAGGTTTGGATAATGTGGACAGACAAAGTGGACCTGGGCATGGGGGAAGAAGAACATGCGTGGAGGACTGGGAAATACTGAGTTCAGATTTGGACAGGCTGAGGTTGACAAGCCTGTGGGATATGCCCAGATCCCTGCTGGGGAAAGATCCAGTAGGCAGCTGCATGCCTTCAATTGTAAGAATTGAGCACTACAAGAGAGAAAAGTTACCAGAGGCAGATCTTTTAAGAGTTTCTCCAATTTTTTTGCAAGAAGAGATGGTGCCAGTTACAAGAGAAATTATATGTCAGGAAGAGTAGAGAGAGGGTTAATAAGGACAAAACACAAGGACCAACACTTGACTCCAGACTACTAACTCCCTGTGTGTCCCACGGCTGGAACAAGAAAGTACCAGAAGATGCAGGGATCTCCTGGGGCTGCCCTCCTTCGCTGAGAATAGAGATCTGTGCCCCAGGCAGTCAACCTAGTCTCCCCAGGGGACTGTGGTCTTGTCCTACTAAATGCCCATAATCATAACCAGAGGGTCTGGAGGAAATGGCCAGGGAGTGCTGCTCCTCTCCCACCACTGAGAATGTTCTGTGCAAGCATTCCTCGGGATGCCTATGCTGAAGCTCTGGAAACCTCTTATTTAGCTGTGAGCAACCATTGGGCCTCCCACATCTACTTTTCAGCAATCCTTCTGCACAGGGGAAAAGACCCTTCCGGTGCCCTTCTCTCCAGAGCACACAATAATTTCATGCCATATTCTGATATCTAGGGAGAGTGGGTATGAAATATCTGGTTAGCACAGACCTAGCTGTCTGACAAAGGAGGCATTGCTTTCTCCAGGCATAACTGCCAATTTTGTGATTGCTTCCAAACCCAAACTTACCCAAATGGGTTAGGATCTGGCCCTGGATGCGGATGCCCACTCACTGCCCATCTGGAAACAAGAGAGACTTCTCCAAAAACCCAGTGGGTGAGGAACACAAGGCTACCAAAGGCAGCCCCTGCCAGGAGCCAGTTGGGTCTAGAGGCCATCCCCGTGGCTGCCTCACCAGTCTTCTTTTCTTCACGTTTACTGCAGTCACCATCTAGAATTTAAAAATACATATATGGAAAAAGTTTAGTTATATGGAAATTTGCGCTCTATAGTTAGCAGACATTAAGGAAGAAATGGCATTTGGCTTCAAGAAGCTTACTTCAGAAGAGGAGATGAGACATGCAACTAAAATACAAAGCTAAACATGCTGACAGCTATTTAGTGGGAGAGATAATTCCTTGCAGGCCAGATAAGGAATGGTTTAAGGCAGAAAACGCATTTTGGAATTCAACAGGTGAAAATGCAGAAAATTATTTGCTTCATGTGAAGTTAAGACATTGCAGAAAAAGTGTCCGGGAACAAATGTAAAAATTGAGTGGAACATTTCCAGTACACAGGCTGCTTCCTCCCAAAGAACAGGGTTGTCATCTAACCCTCTGTGGATGCAGTGCATTGACTGAGTAGCCACTGTGCACCAACCCCTCTTCCGAGCCCTGTATATTAACTTTATATTAACTCATTTAACTTTCACAACAACTTCATGAAGTAGGCTCTACTATTAATCCTATTTTACAGATTAGAAAACAGGGCAGGATGCAGTGGCTCGTGCCTGTAATCCCTGTACTTTGGGAGGCCGAGGCGGGTGGATCACCTGAGGTCAGGAGTTTGAAACCAGCCTGGTCAACATGGTGAAAACGGTCTGTACTAAAAACACACAAAAAATAAATAAATAAAAAGTTAGCCAGGCACAGTAGCAGACACCTGTAATCCCAGCTACTCGGGAGGCAGAGTCAGGAGAATCACTTGAACCTGGGAGGTGGGGGTTGCAGTGAGCCGAGATCGCAACACTGCACTCCAGCCCAGGCAACAAGAGTGAAACTCAGTCTCAAAAACAAGAAAACAGACCCAGAGAGATCAGGTAGCCTTTCCAAGTTCACGCAGCTAGTAAAGAGAACCTAGGAACCTGGGATTAGAGCTTAGGCAGTGTAGCTCCTTGGTACTATTTAGCCAAGAGGTCCAACTCATCACAGTAATGACTTTACACACAAAACTGTAACAACTGGAGAAGATGCCAGCAGGAGGACTCCTTCACAGAAACAGAGAAAGCCTATTGGGCAGACACTTTGTGACCCCCATCCTGCCCTCTACAGGATGGAAGGAAGGTCTTAGGGTCTGACTGTACGGCTGGCAGTCTAATTTCCCAAGAAAGCTTCTCTGACATTAACAGGATCAGAGGGAGGAGGGGCAGAGCTGAGAGCAGTGGGGATGGGATGGAGTGGGAGAGGGCGGTAGTGACAGAAGGGAGACCAGGGGCATGGGGTCTCAGCAGAGAGTTTTGAGGGAAAAGCCATCTAAACTGAATTTGCTGAGTGAAATGCAGTGTATGACAGTGGGTGACCCCACCCCCACACAGGACCTAACAAATCTTCAAAGGAAACTACAAAAAATACTTGATATGCTCAGATAGGCTGAGAAGGTGCATGATGAACAGTCAGTTTTATAAAGGAAGGCACAGAGCAGAAATGGAGAAAGGGACTGCCAGCCAGGAACTGGGTCACATACATTTAAAACAGAGGCCAGATAGAAAAAAAGTCAGGAAATGTGAACAGTACCCTGAAGTTCAGATCTTTATCAGGCTGTACCTGTGAAATGGGCTGCCCGAGTCTCTGCCTCTAGATATGAATGTAAAACATATGTTAGGGGACCAGACCGAGTTCTAAGTCTTCTACTATTAATATCATGTGATCAATTTACTGACATAATTTCCCTCTATTCTCATTTCATGCCAAACTAGGGGGCACAGGGGAAATTATACAAGCATTTTGTTTGTGGTGAGCCAATACCCTCTAAACTTCCATTAATCTTGATATTTCACCTTGTAGTTACAGAAGAACAGTGACTCACTGAGAGTTACACAAAAAGCTAGGAGCAAGTTAACTAGAATCCACTAACACTTCTCCCTTCTTTTTAGAAGAGTCTCGGGTTGGTTTACAAAACAAACTCCAAGCTGGGCATGTTTCTGTCTCAGAGAAAGCTGGCCCCTGGGAGATACAGGTGATTGGAAAGTCGGTATGCATATGCAAGGTTTCCTTTCTTTTCAAGTCTTAGATTTGGAGCTTCAGACCTCTGGAAGAAAAAAACACAGGAAGTTCCAGGGACAGCTATAGGTCACAGAAACTTTCCTTAGTGTTACAGATGTACTGGGGTCAGTGTGGAAGTGGAGGATGGAGAATCCCATCCTAGAGAGCCCTGACCAGGGGGAAGGAGGAGGAAGACAGAGCCGAATGAGAGCTAGGGTATAAGGCCTGGTTCTCGTCTCCCACTGCCACGGTGCTACAAACCAGTGACGGTATTTTATTTTCACCCTCTGTCTGTACAGGCAAGGAAAATGTGCCTGCTGCTTAGCAAATAGCCCACTGGTTGCACCAATTATTATTTCAGAGGAAGAAAAAGCTGAAATATAGATATAATGCAGAAAGATTACTTTTATAGATTTTCTTTCCAAGATGTGGAACATTCACACAGGAAATGTAAGCTCTGCAAAAGAGAAAATTCCAAAGTTACTATATTACCTGTGCCAATACGATCGAGTGTGGCTATGGCAGTTAATGTCAGTATCACTTTGTTGGACATCTGATAACTCCAGATTGGGTTTAGTGAAGTGTACCATATGCGTAGAACAACAAGAACAATCTGTCCTAAAATGAATCCCCAAATTCTGAGGTATCTGTAAGTGCAAAAGTATTTTTAAACACTTTTTATGTGGACTCAATGTACTATGTCCATCATGAATTTCACAGTTTCATAGAATAAGTAGCTGAAATAGTCTTGTTGGTAATCTGCAATAATGAACGTGACTTAGCCTCTATATAGCAACTTAAGCAACTCGCTATAATTCATTAATTTTCAAAACCTTATTGAGATTGATGGCAAGTGTTCATGTCCTTGTTTTGGGAAAAGGAAAAAAAGGAGACTTCAACAAGGCCATATGGAAGGTAAAAACTATAACCTGGAACTCCTGGCCCCAGGTTTCCCTTTGGTAACTGACTATACTTGTTTGTCTATAAGTACATGAAACATTAACCATACCTTTGCAAATGACTTCCTGACCACCAAGTCACAGCTTGCACTATCAGCGAGGAAGATACCCCAAGTGCAAGAACCATCAGTCGAAGTTTGGCATTTGGAGCCTGGAAGGAGGCTATGCTGCCTACAAACAAAATAGGGAGAGCTAAGCAGTTTTGGCAAGCATGGATTGGAACTCCATAATCTGCATTTGATGAATGTTATCCGATACCATCTTTATACTCAGGAAGACATAGTTGGTGTATAATTTTATATATGTATTTAAAATTTTTATTGAAATACAATTCACATATCATAAAAGTCACCATGTTAAAATATACAATTCAATGATTTTTAGTATACTCATAAAGTTGTGCAACAATCACCACTATCAAATTCCAGAAAAATTTCATCACCCCAAGAAGAAGCCACATCCCCATTAGCAGGTCTCTTCTCATTCCCTTCTCTCTACATCCCCTAGCCTCTGGCAACCACTAATCTATTTTCTGTCTCTACGAATTTTTCCTATTCTGGACATTTCATATTAAATTGTACAATATGTGGCCTTTTGTGACTGCCTTCTTTCTCTTACCATAATGTTTTCAGGGTGCATCCAGGTTGTAGCATGTATCAGTGTTTCATTACTTCTCATAGCTACATAATATTCCATTGCATGTATATACTACAGTATGTTTATCCATGTGTCAGTTGATGGGCATTTAGGTTGTTTCCATTTTGTAGCTCTCATGAATAATGCAGCTATGAAGATTTGTGTACAAGTTTATGTCTGAACAGATGTTTCCATTTTTCTTGGGTATATACCAAGGAATAGAGTTGTTAGATCATATGATAACTGCTTCTGTCACACTTTGCCAAAGCAGCTGTGCCATTTTACATTTCTTACATTTCTACCAGTAATGTGTGAAAGTTCCAATTTCTCCACATCCTTGCCAACACTTATTATTGTCTGTCTTTTTTGATTATAGCCAACCTGGTGGGTCAAAAATAATCTAAATTGATAGGAGTATGAACTGGTTTAATGGTTACTTACACAGTAATTAACCTTGAATATCTGAGGTGCCAGAAGTGAGATGGCATGTAACGCTCAGACCCTCTCTGTATTTACATAAGAATATCTCAGGACTCTGAAAACAAAGTTGTTTCATATCCCTAAGAAGCATTTGAAGGGAGTTTTAAAGCAAATCATGGCTTACTTCAGCCTCTGTTTAGCAAAAACAAAGCTCAATGGTCACCTGGAGCAGCATTTAGCAGAGAATGGCCAATTCCTCCTCAACTCTGAGTAATGTTCCCTACCTATTTCATATTTCCAAATATAATTCTACTTCTGCTCAAGGTGATAGGTTTTCACGGAGGAAGAAAGTGAAAAGGGAACAGGAAGCATAGAGATAAAATAGAATATCTACCCCAAACTTATTTTATATCACATCCCTTACAGTCACCAGAAGTTACTGGGCCAAAAATGGATTGAAGGAATGGAAACTATCCCAGTTTCCACTCAGTCTGTGGATGTATAGGTAAGGTCCACATAGGCAGCACCAAAGGTAACAAGAAATTACTACCTATGAGATCACTCCCATAAAATCAACTTGAAGTGTGATAAGAAAATGAATTTTGCAAGACTCGGAGCTATGGTGGGTCATGGAAGGATACTGTAAGTCAATGCCAGTTGAAATCAATTACTATATACTCAGTTCAGGATAGGAAACTTCATTTGTTATTTTTGGAGCTGAAAATTTCAAGACCATTTGACACGTCTTCCAATTCCTATGGACACCAACTTTGTAAAGGGCACACTTTTCAGGAGTTTTTACCACTATCCTTCTGAGTCTGAGTTGTTTTAAAAACAAGAGCTCTAGGCCATGAGCAGTGGCTCACACCTATAATCTCAGCATTGTGGGAGGCCAGGGAGAATGGCTTAAGCTCAGGAGTTCGAGACCAGCTGAGCAACATAGCGAGACTTCATCTTTACTGACACAAAACAAAACAAGAGCTCTATACCTTTGTGGGGATCCACAGAAGTCAATGCACTGACTGTGTTGTGCCTTCAGAAAAGCGATGGCAGTGTCATAGTGAAATGTCGCTATGCAACACATGACTGTGAGTATATTTGCAGGATATATTTCTAGAAGTAGAATTTCTGGTGAAATGTGCTTATTTGTAATTTTGATAATACTACTAAATTATTCTCCATAGAGGTTGTGCCAATGGACACGCACCAGCAATGTATGAGTGCCTGTTTCCCCACTCTTACTGCACAGTGCAGTCAGACTATTCTTTGCTGATCTACTTGTCAAACTATAGATAAGCATATCTGTATGTGTATAATTTATGATCTATACATTTGCTTCCATTTTTAAGAACTAATTGTATTTCCTTTCCAGTGAATTGATCAGATCCTGTGCCCCCTTTTCTATTGAGTTGTTGGTCTCTTTTTATTATTGGTTTGTGGGAACTCTATATATTACAGAAATTAGCCCTTTGGCTAAAAGAGTTGCAAGTATTTTTCCTAGTTTCTTGTTTGACTGCTTATTGTGGTGTTTGTCATCATAATCTTCACATTTCTTGTGAATTATTATTTAACAAACTTTTTAAAATGGCTCCTGAGTGTTATGTCACAGTTGGAAAGAAAAACACAATATATTCAAGAGTTGATCAGTTCTTTAAGGTATCTTTCCTCTACTCATTTCAATGATTTTTAGGTCTTTCTAGTCTGGCAAAAACATTGTAAATGTAAAACACATCGACTTTCAGTCTAGTCTTCCAATTACTAAAGCTCTTCTAAGGTAGTGGTAAGGGAAAGAGAAATATTTGATTTTTTAAATTCAAACATTTAGCATTCAAAGAACAGTCTACATAATCTCACTTGATTTTTAACTAAAACAAAAAAACTTAAAGAAACTCTTTTAAATCTTACCGACAGTGATTATCCTCAGCAGGGTTAGCATCCACTTCTTGTTAACCAATTTCCAGAAAGGAGCAATTGTTAGAAATATTGGAGAAAGGAACGCTATACTAAAACTTTCAAGCCCAGTGAGTTCTAGTGTTTGCAAAGGAAAGTAATAGATCATCGGTCCCAGGTCATGGTAGAGAGACCAAGAAATATATCCTACAAAAAAAAAAGTTAAAGAGAGAAAGTGTAACTTCGGCATTGTTTCTAACAATAGCCCTATCCCTCCACTCCAGCCACTCAGGCTGGCCATTCTTCTTTATGACTCTGGCCTGAACTGGGTTCCAGTTGTTTCCACTGACAGGAAACAAAACAAGAGCACTACACCTGTGTAGAGATTCACAGAACTCGCTGCACTGACTGTGTTGTGCCTTAAGAGACCGATGGACAGAAAAGTGATGGCAATTTCCCAGTGAAATGTCACTATGTAATGCATGACTCTGAGTATATCTGTAGGATATATTCCCAGAAGTGAAATTTCTGGTGAAACGTACATATTCCCCCCCCCCGCCCCCTCACATCAGGCCCTGGTAGAGGATGGCTTCTTGATACCATGAGTCTCTCAGCATCCCTTGCTTGTTCCTTTTCCTTGCCCATATGGCTGTAGACAATCTCTTTATTAAGTCCTATTCATTTGGACCACCTGAGTTGAATTTGGCTTCCCATCAGGACCCTGACTGACAAAATTTTCTTACCTACATTGTCCCCTGTATAATGAAAAATATTGTGAGAGTCCAAAACGGCAGTAAGCAGCAGGACTCCCTCCTACAACCCCAGACTACACCCAAAGCACTTGAGTGAGGCAGCAGTCATTCCCTTGAGTAGAACATTTTCAGTCCAATCCTTAGGAGGCAGTGCAGGGTAGTGGAATACCCAGATCTGAAGTAAGTTGCACCTCTGCCAATAACCGCTGTATAATCTTGAGCAATGATGATAATTAACGCTATGGGCACTTGCCACGCACTAGGATTGGTGCTAAGTGTTAAACACGGAGCATCTGTCTCATTCCTTATACAGCCCCCTATGCTATGAGATGGGTAGTATTTCCACTCGCCTCTTATAAATGCAAAAACTAACTAAGCAAGAACAAAACAACAAGCAAAACGCTGAGACTCAGAAAGATAAATGAGTACCTAAGGTTACACAAGTAGCAAATGTCAGAGTTGCCATAACTCTAAGCAGCCTGGGTCCAAAGGTAGCCCCTCTAACTACCAGGTGTGGGGACTTTCTACCAACTGACTTTCAAACTCCGCTTCTTAGTCCGCAAAACTTTCAACCCCTTCAGAGTTGTTGGGAGGATTAAGTGAGATCAAATGCACTGAGTACTAGCACCTGAGGTACTTATTGAATGCTAGGCACTGTACATCTCCCAACTTATAGATACAGGCTGAGCCAGAAAAAAAAAAAAAAAAAAAATAGTCTGAAGCCCTCCTGAGAATTACCAGCTCCCAGAAAATCAAGTTCTCAGGAAGGCGCCCCACCCAGACCAGAGGGATCTTTGTTCTGTAACGAACCTGGGATTCCAGCAATATCCCAAATGTTTGTCTGGGAACTTTCATTTTATTACTCACACAGCTCCGACAGAATTACACCAATAAAATTGTCCTTGGGATTTTGTAAAGCTGGTGAGAGAGCACATGAGACTCGAGTCCGATGCTTTTCGCCAAATGCCCAAGTGTGCAGCCCACACCAGGGCCACTTGTCCTGGGCCCAGTTCACGGCAGCAGCTGCCACCGGGTGTTCACCTACAGCTCCTAGGGAAAACAGGTGCCCCTCTCCTTCTGAATTTTAAAGTTCAGCACTGAATTGTATTAAGTTAAACTTAAAGGCCACGGGTGGGGGTCTTTGGGGACGATACTGGCCTTGCGGGGTCAAGGCCGACACGAGAGGAATTCTCGCTCCTTGGGCACAGTCCCAGAGCTGCTGGGAACTCGGGCGACGGCGTCTTCTGCGGGCGCCTCGCAGACTCAGTTTGAACACTCCAGTCTAGGTCTTTTCCTTTATTCCCCTCAGTAGGGAGAGTTCCCAGGAGAAGATAAGCATCTCCACTCTGGGCACGGAGCGCCCTTTTCCTCCTACCCGAACTCAGCCAACCTGGACTAGCGCCGCGGCTCTGGACAGGGCCCGGAGAGCTGGCACCCTCAAACGCGCGGCGAGGCGCTTCAGCTTACCCAGCAGCGACTCCAAGAGGATTTCTCTCCACAGTGAGGGCATCGCCGCGGCGCTGGGCAGCGCTTTCCGGGAAAGCCGTGCGGGCCGGGCCTGCTGCCCTAGCCCTGCGCCCCCAGGTCCCCGCAGCCGCATCCTCCCGTACCTGCGTCCGCGCCCCTAGTCCCCGCGTCCCCTTGCCAAGCGAGCCCCAACAAGCTGGCCCACTTGCTGAACCGAGGCGGGGTGGGGCCGGTCCGCCCTCCCCTTCCCGACCACACCTAGCCTCACCTGCCCGAACCTGGCCTGGCCGGGCGCCACCTGTGCGCGTTGCGCCACCTCGGGCGCCTCTGGTCCCCGCCTTCGCCTACTCGGCGCGAGCCCCAGCGGCACCCTTGGCCGGCGCAGGGGACATGCATCTCGACTCTGACTCTGCTATCTGGCCAGAACCCGGAGCAGCCCCGGGGATGCAGCTCTGCCAGAGCCCAGGAGGGAGCGAACAAGTGCAACTCCGGACCAGCGGTGCCTTCGTTTAGACGAGGCCCAGAGGGGTGTGCCGCGAGAAGAAAGTAGAGAGGAAGGACAGCTGGAGACCCAGATGGGGACCCTGGAGGAGCAGGTCCTGTACACCGGCTCCGGCGCTCTGGAAGCCTTAGGTGACCACGGGGCGCGAACCCGACCGTAGACATCTTCAGGCCAGGGCGACGCGTCGGAAGCGTGCCGGCAGGGCAAGGGCCACTCTTTCTCAGCTTTGATAGTAAAAATGCAATTTGTTAATTGCCTCCTAGCAAAGGGGCCCAAAATTCTAGCGGCTGCAAGATTTTCTAGGAGGAGAGAAAGTAACTGATGCGAGTGGAAACCCAGCCCTCCCCCGGTTTATGAGTAATGATATTTGAGAGTGCTTATCCTAAAGAGAAGGTGGGAGATGTTCTGATTAATGTGGAGAGTGAACTAGGCCAGCTATTTCTCGCTCAAATGTATCACACCCAGGATGTCTTGAACTTGTTTAAGAACCCCTGAAAGCAATTTATTTTAATGTACTTTAGTTTCTTAAGAAGAGCTTATTGTTTATCAGTTCCAGAAAGTTTGCTCTGAAATTAAACAATGATGGCATGCCCAAAAAGTATTAGAATCACATTAGCAGCAATCATTGCTATTAAATAGGAGTATTGAGCAAAGAGGTTTTGTTTTGTTTGAGACGGAGTCTTGCTCTGTCGCCCAGGCTGGAATGCAGTGGCATAATCTCGGTTCATTGCAACCTCCGCCTCCTGGGTTCAAGCAATTCTCCTGCCTGAGCCTCCTGAGCAGCTGGGACTACAGACACGCACCACCACGCCCAGATAATTTTTGTATTTTTAGTAAAGATGGAGTTTCACCTTATTGGTCAGGCTGGTCTCAAACTCCTGATCTCGTGATCCACCCACCTTGGCCGCCCAAAGTGCTGGGATTACCAGCGTGAGCCACCATGCCCGGTCAAGTATAGAGTTCTTAATCGGTTAATTACTAGCTAGTACTCTCAATCTCAAGGGAAGATATATAGGTTAATGGAACAGAAGTGAGAGACTGGAGATAAACCCCCTTTTAGGGTCAAGTGAGTTTCACAAGCTTGCCAAGACAATTCCACGGGGAAGAGTCTTTTCAAAAAATGATTCTATGACTACTATCTGTATGCAAAAGAATAAAGTTGGATCCATATTTCACACCATACACAAAAATGAACTCTAAATGGATCAAAGACCTAAATGTAAGAGATAAAACTGTAACACTCTTGGAAGAAAATATCAAAGTAAATCTTTGTGATCTTGAATTAGGCAATGGATTCCTATTATATATAAAACACCAAAGCACAAGCAACAAAAGAAATAATAGATAACTTGGACGTCATTAAAATTAAAAGCTTGTTGCTTCAAAAGACTCCATCAAGAAAGTGAAAAGACAATGTACACAATGGGAGATTTTTTTTATTATTAATATACCTTAATATCTGGGATACATGTGCAGAACGTGCAGGTTTGTTATGTAGGTATACACGTGCCATGGTGGTTTGCTGCACCCATCAACCTATCATCTACATTAGGTATTCCTTTTAATGCTATCCCTCCCCTAACCCCCAACCCCCACCACGACAGACCCAGGTGTGTGATGTTCCCCACCCTGTGGCCATGTGTTCTCATTGTTCAACACCCTCTTATGAGTGAGAACATGGGGGGTTTGGTTTTCTGTTCTTGTGTTAGTTTGCTGAGAATGATGGTTTCCAGCTTCATTCATGTCCCTGCAAAGGACATGAACTCATTCTGTTTCATGGCTGCATAGTATTCTATGGTGTATATGTGCCACATTTTCTTTATCCAGTCTATCATTGATGGGTATTTGTGTTGTTCCAAGTCTTTGCTATTGTTAACAGTGTTGCAATAAACATACGTGTGCATGTGTCTTTATAGTAGAATGATTTATAATCCTTTGGGTATATACCCAGTAATGAGATTGCTGGGTCAAATGGTATTTCTGGTTCTAGATCCTTGTGAAACTGAACCACTGTCTTCCACAATGGTTGAACTAATTTACACTCCCATCAACAGTGTAAAAGTGTTCCTATTTCTCCACATCCTCTCCAGCCTCTGTTGTTTCCTGACTTTTTAATGATCACCATTTTAAATGGTGTGAGATGGTATCTCATTGTAGTTTTTATTTGAATTAGGAGATAATATTTTTAAATCACATCTGTCCCACCACATTTATTTTGATCTCTATTTGAAGTAGGGCTTTCTTGGCATTCTCCCTTGATCTGTTGAAAATGTCTCCCAGTGTTCAGAAGTCCCTGGATAATTTTTTAATGTAATTTTAGGAATGTTAGAATTTATGGTGGCATTGATTGCTTTTTTAATGAGAAAACAAAAAGGAAGAATCAGATCATCTCTTCCCACCCTTCCATTATATCTCTGACTTCTTGGGATCCTACACATATCTGAAGGTCTCTTAGAAAACATTCTAGCTATTAGGTACCACTTTCCTCAGTATACAATTTTACACATTTGCCAGACATCTCAAGTCACACTTGAACGTAGTCTCAAATGCATCATTCTTCTGTTATCAGGTTGGAAAATTTGTAGCACACAGGAAGCCCCACAGTACTGTCTCACCCAGCACCTTGCAGATACCCACAGCCACAGCTCTCTTCCCTGCTTCCCTCAAAGTTGACCTCAAAATCCTTCTCGGAAATAACCCTTCTCGGAATAATAATAATCCTTCTGGATAAACAAAATGTTGTATGCCCATTCAATGGAGTATTATTCAGCCATAAAAAGGAGCAAGGTACTGATATATGCTATAATATATAGAATATATGAATATATGTTATACGTTATCTTGAATACATTATGCTAAGTGAAAGAAGCCAAACACCAAAGTTTGCATGTTGTGTCACTCCATCTATGTGAAATGTCTAGAATAGGTAAATCCATAGAGGCAGAAAGAGCATTGGTAGTCACCAGGGGGTCAGGGGAGGGCAGAATGAAAAGTGACTGCTTAAGGGGTTTCTTTTTGGGAGTGATGAGATGTGCTGGAATTAGATTGTGGTGATAGATGCATCATTCTGGGAATATGCCAAAGCCATTCTATCGTACACTTTAAAAGAGTGGCCCGGGAGTGGTGGCTCACGCCTGTAATCCCAGCATTTGGGGAGGTCAAGGCGGGCGGATCATTTGAGGTCAGGAGTTCCAGACCAGCCTGACCAACATAGTAAAACCCCTTCTCTACTAAAACACAAAAAAAATTAGCCCGGCCTGGTGGCGGGCGCCTGTAATCTCAGCTACTTAGAAGGCTGAGGCGGAAGAATCGCTTGAACCCGGGAGGCGGAGGCTGCAGTGATCCGAGATCGTGCCACTGCACTCCAGCCTTATCGACAGAGCTAGACTCCCTCTGAAAAACAAATAAATAAACAAAAATAACAATAAAAGGGTGAGTTTTATGGGATGTCAATTTTTAAAGGAAGAAACAATTGTTCATAGCAGCATTATTAATAATAGCTAAAAAATGGAAGCAACCTGAATGTGCATCAACTGATTGATGAATAAACAAAATGTGGAGTATCCATGGAATCGAATATGATTCAGCAATGAGAGGGATGAAGTACTGCTATTACGCCGACATGGATGAACCTTGAAAACATTGTGCTAAGTGAAAGAAACTGCCTATTGTATGATTCTGTTTATATGAAATGTTTGGAATAGACAAATTGATAGTGATGGAGGGTAGATTAGTGGTTGCTTAGGGCTGTGGGGACATGTGGGATAGGAAAGGCGACTAATGAGTACAGAGTTTCTTTTAGAGAGAGATGAAAATGTTCTAAAATTAGATCATGACAATGGTCGCACAATGGTTGTACAACTCTATGAATACTTAAAAACTTTGTGTTGTATATGTTAAATACTGTTTGAATTATATCTCAATAAGGCTATTTTTTAAATGCAATTCTTTCTAGTTAAATAGTTTTCAAATGCTTTGGTTGGGATTTCAGTCATTTTCGTGTCAAGTGTTCCCCAACATGTGAAGGACCTCAGTGACTACAGACATCAGACACTGCATTTTCCTTCTCTGATGCCCTTATGTTTATTTTCCATGCACCTATAGAAAGCATCTAGCTCAGTGCTGTGTGTGCCTAGCAGGTGCCTTGTAAAGTGTGTTCCTTTACAAAGCTAAGTGCTAGGAAAAACTTTACTTCTACTAAGGATGCGATGTGCCTTCTTCTCCACCCAGAGCTCAATTTTTGGTTTTAGTGTTTTTGGTTTTATTTTTTGCCTCATTAACCTTTTGATCACAGTTAACCACAAGGAAGTCTGGAAAATGCAGTCTAGCTGTGGTCCCAGAAAAAGAAAGAAATCAAGTTTTAATGAGCAGCTATCTGTCTCTGCTACAAAAACTGCTTTATATATAGGATTGTTTTGAAATTTTTTATTTATTTATTTAGGGATGGATTTTTGCTCTTGTTGCCCAGGCTGGAGTGCAGTGGCTCCCTCCACCTCCTGGATTCAAGTGATTCTCCTGCCTCAGCCTCCGGAGTAGGTGGGATTACAGGCACCTGCCACCACACCCAGCTAGTTTTTGTATTTTTACTAGAGGTGAAGTTTCACAATGGGGTGGCTGGTCTTGAACTCCTGACCTCAGGTGATCCACCTGCCTCAGCCTCCCAAAGTGCTGGGATTGTAGGCATGAGCCACTGCGCCCAGTACATACATATATATATATATATG